AACCATTGTAGAATTTTTGCTTTTTTCTTTCTTTTTAAAACAAATTTGAGCCAACTTTCAAAATTCAGTGATAGCTCACATTACACTGTTTTCATGTTCTACTCAGAAATGTCATCTCTTTGAGTAGTTTTATTGATCAGTCCCTTGAGCCAAATATCACCTCCTCCCCCTGGACATCATTTTCTGAGAGAGAGGTGAAAATCAGTGTGAGAAGATTATAAAGGGACTCAACCCAGTTTAATGAGAGAAAGACTTTTTTTTTTAACATTTAGCGTTAATTCCCAAAGGACAGAACAGTCAGTTTTCTGAGGTAGAAGGATTAGAGTCACACTTGCAAATTCAGTCATCCTGATAGAATAAGTTGGCAAAAAGAGATTTTAAAAAAGTGTACAATGACTGGATAGTTTGTAAGTAAAAACAAGCCAAAGGACTGGACTGAACTGTCAAACATAGGTAAAAAGAAAGAAAATGTAGGTCCTAGGGCCATAGCTCAAAATCTGGAGCCCAGACTTTACATGTTGGAGACCAGGTACAAATACCACCAGATACAAGCCCTGGAGACCGACAGCACTATGAAATATATTTTCCTGATGATATATGGTAAAAAGACCACTTGGAAAACAAAAACATACATGGAAATAAAATTGTGTCTTGAAGATAAAATATCAAACACTTGCATTATCAAAAGATTTTTTAAAAGGTAAACTTCATAGTCAAAAATGTAATCTTATTTTACCCTCTGTATGCTTCCTTCCTTTGTACTCTTTTTCTTTTATTTTATTGCTGAAAAACACATTCCCCATCTGAAAATTTAAGTTCTGTCAAGCAGAGTTCAGTTCAATTGTAATTGTTTCCGAGAATCTTACTTACAGATCTCCAGTCATAGATAATTTACTTCTCCCATTCTCTACCACAACATAAGACTTAGATAGTGCTTTATGATCAAAAGCATGATGACTAGGCATAATCTACCAAGAGACATTTAAATTAAAAAAACAAACTATCCACCTGCTAAACTTATTTCTAAGGTACTATATCATCCATCCTATTTTTTTTTATTTCTTATCCTTCCAAAATATTGCACTTTAAACAGCCTCTGATACACATTTTATTATATTTAAAGACCTGAAAACACACAACAGAAAGGGATTTGGGTTGCAATTATCATTGCCCTTGTAAACTTTAAATTATAAGAGAAATTAAACTACTTTCAACCCCATACAAAACTACTCTAAAAACGGTGCATATTACCTGTCCACTGGCCGGCTCAAATCGGAATAGAATACCAACTCTGGTATTGTAGAATGAAGAAAACAGTCCCAAGACTGCAACTCTGAATGTTAAATCTATAATATCCATTTCTAAAAATATAATTTCTAGCTTATGGTCCTGACATCAAGGAGGTGTCCAGTTCATAAAGAGTAAAATACATGTATGAATGAATTGAGTGTGGTATAGTCATTGCTGATGTTATGAGCAGTGACGCCAGGATGTTTTTTTCCGGAGAAAGGGGTTGGATGGTACTAAGACTTATTTCTGACTTTGTGCTCAAGGATTACCCCTGGTGGTTCTTGGTGGACCATATATGGTGACAGGGTTGTCTGAACAGAGGTCGACATGAGCTAGGCAAGTGCCTTCACCTCTGTATTATCTCCCCTGCCCTAATGATAACATAACTTTTTGAACTGTTTGAATTGATTGAGATTCTGTGATTTATAATAGCATCAGTGATGGTTTCGCCCTCACATAATTCCAATATCCACTTCTCACCAGCGCACCTATACCCCCCCCCCCCCAACCCAAGGACACCCATGATCCTCCCTTTCAAACCCCCTCCCAACATTACCAAAAACAGCAACAACTAATTGTGTGGATCATTTGTGCTGCCTTTGACCTTTTGTTGCTACCTTGCTGTGTATCTTAAAGCCCCACTATGAGAAAGATATGTCTGTTATCTCTTCCTTTCTTTCAGGTATGATTCTTAAAAGATACAGTCTCTGAGTTGTCTTTTAACTTTTACTTTAGACACAAATATTTTCAAAATAAAAAATTTTCACACTAAATATTTGCCTATTGCAAAAAAACCCTCCAAATATTAATATATATAATCTAGGACGCCAATAAAAACAGCAGCAAAAGCTGGTTCTTCCAAATAAAAGCATGGAAACCACTTGATCTTAAATCGCATACTGAGACCACATGGTACATTGGGATAAAGGGAAACTCTAAGGAGTCAAGATTTCTCAAAGTTAGTATAAGCTCTATTCAGAAATGACAGGATCTATTCCTTTTTGGGCCTCATTTTTTCTTTTTGCAAAGAAAGGCATTAGAAACTGTTATATGTAACAATCTGCCGGAAGCCAAGTTGTACTAAATGATCTCTAAGATCTCTTTCAGCCCTAAAAATTATCATTCTTATAGTCACACTTAAGAGACATTTTTTTGGCTCTGGCTTGAAAATTTGGCTGGAAACATAAACAGACTTCTACATAAAAACACACATTTACCAGCTATAATTTGGACTTGGCACCAAGAGGTTTCACCATGGCTCAGAGGAAAACGTGCAAAATTTTCTCCAGGGATTAAATTGCTCCGGGCTCCATAATATCTTATATCTTAGGGTGATGCAGAAATGGTTAGAGTAGGGCCAAGGCACGATCCCATCCAAGTCGCTGCCACACAAGGGAATGGCATGTCTGTTTGCTTTTGAACTTGCTAGCAATCCTCCATATAGTGAAGAATAACATGATTCCACTACCAGATTTGTCCTTTTCCATTTGGCAAACTCTATTTTATTTTTTATCATGCTTCCTTCTGTTTTGCAGAGAATGTAAGCCAACATGGCAACAGGCATTTCATTTATTTCCTTTCTTTTCAAAAACAAAGACATGATTTGAGTATACTTATCAGAATGTGGCCTACACAGAAATATACTTTTTTTGTAATTTTATGTAAGTTTCATGTTTGAATTTTATTTTATGAAATCCTATGTTGAAATACTATTATTCTTGTTTTTTTATTTTAAAATAGCAATAATTATAACTTCAAAATATCTCCATGACCATTATAGCTGAGCAATTAAAATTTCATTTGTGTTTTCTTTAATTGGCAAAGGTAGAGAGAGTTACCTTATTTTTAAATATGAGGAGACTGGGAATTAGTACGACCTGCTCTCTCAAGATGACATAACTAGAATAAGCTGCTCAAAACACAAGGTCAAATTTATTTAGAACTAAGAATTTTAAGTAAAACAAAACGGTTTCCATAACAATCCATGAGAACAAACAGGCTAAGGAAAGGTTGCAATTGAGTAAATTCAATAATATGTTATGAAATACCTCCAAGACCAAAAAAAAAGAGCAAATAATTATATAAAGACAAACAGTAGAATATTTTTGAATTTTGAAATGCAAAAATAAATAAAATCAAGCATATTGATTTATCACCAATGAATTTCTCAGTTTTATAAAACAATAAAAATTGTGTAGTCAGATTGTCCACTCCTGATATCTGATTTTTATGCCAGTCTAAGAAAAGATAAAGAAAATGTGTGGCTTATCTTAGTCATAAAACTTGTGATTTTTAAAAATATATAGTCTCTAAACTGAATTGAATCTGAGTGATTTTAACTGACACATACTAATTTCAACTGACAAATTAAAAAATATATTTCTCTAATTTATGAGATGGACTCTGGAAGCATAGAGTCCCCCATGATTCCTTCTTCTTATGCACCCACTCTGGTGAGTAGATAAGACTCTGCTTATCATTTCAGTGACACCTTCCGGGGGACACCCACCCTTGGAAGCAGCTTCACCAATAGCACATATTTTAGCCCAATATACTTTGCAATGCATGTATCTTAATTTACTTCTACTACTTTCACCAAAATGTAAGCTTTAAGAAAGCAGAACCCAATCTGCGGTTTTGACTATAAAATCCCTAGTATATCCACATAAAGGCACAGAATAATTGTTGAACAAACCAATTGTTTCATTGTTTTTCTTTGTTTTATGCAACCTGAGAATAGCAAAAAAGGCCAGGTAATGATAACAATCTCAACTATAGCATCTTATGAATTTTCCACTGTAAAGCTTATTATAAGAAATTTTAAATATATATTAAGGCAAACTGAGTAACAGAACATGCCTCTATGTGTTCAATAATTGCCAACACAAAATGAATGCTTTCACCAATTGTTATGATTTTGAAGCGATTGTCAGCTACCATGCCAATTTTCCTACAAACATTTATGTTTTCCCAAATAAATATATATTTTTTCACAGTTATTATAATATCATCACTCTAAAATAATACTAATGCCATGACTTTGTTATTTTGCATTCATTCCTGACATAATGGAGGCAGCGACACATCTGCACAACTCAATCTACTACATGCTGAAAAATGACTTCCAAAACTGCTTCTGACTCTAGCCTTGAGTTCCTCTGCAATGCAAACCCTCCAGAGCACAAAGCCTACATATAATCAATGGACTCAATAATATGCATCCCTGACCTCAATCAGAAGAGAAAACCCTATGGAGTTTAAACAGCTGTTCTAGCTAGAGAGATGGGGCTGACAATATGGAACCCACAGTGACTAACCAACCTCTTAAACGTATCGATCCCACTCACCTAGACTGCAGTCTGTGTAGATCAAGAAAAAGGGCAATAAAGAACACAACTGTGTGTTCCAAGAAAAGCAAGAAATTGTGAACTTCTCAAAAGGTATTCCTGAAAAATGGCTGTTTCTAAACCAGATTAGAAGGTAAAACAGTTTGTAGCTTCAGACAGCTTCAAAGCTCCAAGTAGCAAAACTGTGGGAAGCTCAAGCTGGTCATTTTACAAGTAATGTCTTGTTCCTGGTGAATTGTGACTGTTCACTTTAGATTCTGGGAAAATATTGATCCAAGATGTAAACAATCACTGAATTCATAAGCTTTTTTTATAGATATCATTCCATAACTACGGCTTCTAAACTTCAACTAATGATCTTACCTGTGCCCTGAAAGCACCTTCAGCAAGGGGTGGTGGAGGAGGGAAGTTTCCAGAGCCAGATGGAACAGCAATGGGATCATCCATAGGAGGAGGGGGAGGTGGAAGAAAATCACCTACAGAGAGAAAATACACATGATATCACAATGATTGTAATTTCACAGTAATATTATTTTTTCTATGATCTTACTGGTTTATTTTTTCAGTTTAATGTATTGACACATACTGTTTTTTCCCTATAAAGCAATTATTCTTTCTCTTAGTATTCCTCTGTTTAATTAGCAGTGTTAACTTAAAAAAAATCAACATCAGTACTTAGAAATGATGCCTAAACTAGTCAGTCTGATTGGATACATTTGCAAGGGGAACAGTTTGTATGGGATATTAATAAGGTGCTTAAGAATCTCATATTTGTCTTTGGTAAATTTTCAGTCAAGAAGAGGAAAAAGTGTAGGCAAAGATAACATAAAATGTAATTTTTAAAAAAAGTGAAATTTATTTATTTTTAATTGAAATCACACTGAGATACACAGTTGCAAAGTTGTTTGTAATTGAGTTTCAGTCATATAATAATGTACCAACACGAGTTCCTTTACCAGAGTGCATTTCCCACTACCAATGTCCCCAATTTCCCTCCCACTGCCATCACTTCCAGTCTTCTTCTTCTTCTTCTTCTTCTTCTTCTTCTTCTTCTTCTTCTTCTTCTTCTTCTTCTTCTTCTTCTTCTTCTTCTTCTTCTTCTTCTTCTTCTCTCTCTTTCCTTATGGTTTGCAATATAGATAATTAAAGTTTATCAGGTATATCCCTTTACCTACTTTCAACACTTAGTTTCTATCCAGAGCGATCATTGCCAGCTATTATTGCCATCCATACTGGTCCCTTCTTTCCATTAATATGTACAAAGGAAGTCTTCCAGAAATCAAGATAAAGAAAAACTTGAATTCAGATAGAAAAACAGAAAGCCTTTAATGGATTACTGATGCTTCCCACATATTATGATACAAAAAGTGAATCCATTTTATGCAGACTTAAAGTAAAGATAATTACCACAATCATCAGTATCACCACCATGATCATCATTATCTCATTGTATAAAATAACAAGCAAATGAAAATATAGTGTAAATACAGGAATGGAAAATAATACTAGTGAGTTATAAAAACTAAATCAAAGATAGAAGCAAACTTTCAAATGTGTGCTGTATCTAGTATAGAATTTATGCTTATCTTACACGCAGTGAGCATCCATTGAGGGCATCCTGGCAGGGAATATTTGGATGCAATATGATTTATTAGAGAGAAGTCTGTAATTATGTGCAGGACAGATCAGGAGAGTAAGATAATGAAATGACTGATTTAGAAATCTATACGTAATCCAGGCAGGATGCAATTAAAGCTTTGGATACTAAGCAATCCTTAACATTTCCTTTCTTCCTCTCTTTCCTTTATTTTATGTTTCATTGTTTCAGGAATGAGTCTTCCAAGCAGAACTCAGAAGTCTGGAGGAACCAACCAGGAATTCTTGGTCAACTAGCTTGATCTAAGGGCCTAAAGAGTCAAAGCTTCACAGGTCCTATAGTGGTGGGAAGATGCAGTGGCGCTGGGCTTCTTCAAGGCCATAACCAGTATTGCTCAGGAGACCACATGGTACCAGGAATCAAACTTGGTTTGAATTATACAAGTGTTGCGCCCCAACTTCTGTCTCTTCCCATCACTAATATTTTGACTGATTGAAAAATGAAATTAGAATTATTAGAAGAAGCTACTTCATCTCTAAGATCTGGATTGTAGAAAGATATCAAGATCACTGTGTGTCCATGGCCTAGAATTTCTTTAGATCACTTAGAAAAAAACTATATTTCTAGTTTTTTTTATTTTTACTTTCCCTCTTTCTTTTGGAAATAATATCGGGTGGGGGGGGAGAAATCTGAGAATGGTGTGAAAATAGCATATTGGGGAAAGGTTCTCCTCTTTTAATAAACAATTGTTATTTCCTTGTATTTCAGCGTTCAGTATGATTTATGGGGCAATAGTGTCTATTATTAAAGATGCTTCCTTTGGATAGTACTAAAATTTATAATCTAGGGTTGCTGGAGCGATAGCACAGTGGTAGGGCGTTCGCCTTACAAGCGGCCAACATGGCCGACCCGAGTTCCATTCCTCCGCCCCTCTCGGAGAGCCCGGCAAGCTACCGAGAGTATTCGATATGCCAAACACAATAACAACAAAGTCTCCAATGGAGACGTTACTGGGCCTGCTCGAGCAAATCGACGATCAACGGGAGGGCCTTTACCTTTACCTTTATTAAAGATGCTTCCTTTGGATAGTACTAAAATTTATAATCTAGGTCTTCGGAAAAAAAAAGGAAAATCTACTTTTCAGACATAGGCAGACAGACTAACAAGCAGTACCCTGTTCACCAACTTTGTGTTGTGAGACGTTACTGGTGCCCACTCGAGCAAATCGATGAACAAAGGGAGGACATTGCTACAGTACTACATTGTTTTTAAGTAGGGGCCGTATCTAATGCTGCTGGGGTGGTGGTCATAATGACTCATAACAGTGCTCAGAGCTGGCACACTGAAAGTATGGGGGTTTCGTGCTTAGGCCCACCAGAGTTTCAGGACTACTACAGTCACACCACCTGGCATTGTGGCAGTGGGTGAGTGGTAGGTGGAGCATGGAGTACTGTGATTGACTTAGGAGCTCATGCTATACCACTTAAATGAACCTTCTGACACCTGCTCATTGGATTCTTACAAAGTACCAGACATTCTGCTAAGAATTTCATACATTAGGTCTGCTTTCTATATCTACTCTCAGTAATGCTAATTCTCAAATTTTTGAGTCCATAAGTAAGCCAGATGGTCATATTAAAATGTATATTCCGAAGTTTTATTTTCAGGGGTTCTTATTTATTTGATCTGATGTAGCATTCAAATCAATATAATGTGTATTTTGAATAAATTCCAGGTGATGTTGTTATTTATTTTATCCTAGCAACTCCAACCTTCACCCTCATATAATTATAAGGGGTCAAAGGCTGTTGTTATAAGTATTTCTACACTTCTCATACCTTGAGCACAGACAGAGCGCTGAACCAGGTGTAAGCCCTGAGCACTGCTGAAGGCAAAACCAGAGATCTTCAACAATGCCATAAAGAATGCAAATTCTCATAGCAAATTAGTCTTAAACTAGATTTGACAGTCACGGTTGAGAAAATCATCTATCCTCATTTGGCCAAAGACTTCAAAAAAAAAATAAAATTAACACCTGTTAACTGAAAATAATTCTCAACAAGTTCTTTCCAGACTTTAAGATTCAGAGCGCATGAGAATTTTCACAGTGACAACAGAAGTGACTGGCAAATAGGTGTAGACCCAGGAAAACTCACTGAAAATTAGGTCACAGCCTAATTTTCAGATCTGAATGTTCATCCTGGATATGGCTTTTTCATAACCAAGTTAGAAATGATTTCTGAGCACCTTTTGTATCTCACCATCGTGTTATGTCATACATAATTTCCTGAGTGTCAGAACTGAACAGAATCTCAGAGAACATAAATTGGCAAAAACAGAGATCCACAACAGTGATGTGACATGAAGAAATCAAATTCTCATAGCAAATTATCTTAAAATAAAAGAGCGAAACTCCTGTTTATAAGATTCCTCTGAACTCATCGCTTCTTGTCTCTGTTATTATATTTGAAGTTTAAAGTGGTGTATATCCTGGGTTCTGGAAGGGTGAAAAGCAACATAAAAGTAGAATATGTGATTTTTAAAAGAACTTAGGAATAGCACAAATCTAAGCTATGTATGTTAGGAAAAATTAGCCTGTGTTTAACCTCAGTAATAGCCTCATAACTGGTATCTAAGATTTCAGGCTCAATCATATCAAGATTCTTAACTACATCCTGTAGAATGGGAAAATGGATACATGTCTTGACAATAGACACATGAAAGATAAATGTGTGGGAAATGGTCCTTAAATAGTCGATATCATTGGAATATAAATATACCTTAAATCAGACAGAGGACAGTTATGAGTACTGTGATTTATTAATATCTCAGATGAACAGGTGAGTAAACAAAAAATACATCTAAGTTGCATAAGTTCAGCTTGTTCCATGGAGAAAGCGGAAAGGGCTTCTGCAGACCACATGAGGCATGCATCAGACCCGAGTTAGCATTTCATCCCAGGAACCCAACTAACCAGCACCACCTTGTGTGACCCTGCCTGAACTCAAACCTGTTAGCGCCAAGGCAATAATACCAAGCATCACCCTGAAAAAATCAAGCTTGCACCACCAGAACAACTGGCATTAGATCTGTCCCCAAGCTCCTGAGCACATGTGCATGTGTGTGTGTGTGTTAATGGTAGAGAATGGTAGAGAATGGCAGCAAAGTTTTTGTTGTTTTGGAACCAAACCACTGGTGCTCATCTTGGCTCCAGGATCACCCCTGTATTACAAGGGGTCACATGTGATGCTAGGGGTTGAACCCAGGGCAACTGCATGCAAGGCAAACTCCATAACTGTTGCACTGTCTGATCCAGTTTTAGTGTAATTTTTAAACTTTTATTTTTGGGGGGTTTGAGTTAGGTCACAATGCAGCAGTGCTTATGGCTTCTCCTGGCTCTGCACTCAAAGATTGTTTCCTTTGGGGTTTGGGTGACTATACGGATTGCTAGGGTTCGAATCTGGGTTGGCAACATGCAAGTGCTTTACTTGCTGTACTATTTACTCACCCCTCTAATACTAGTCTTTTGTATTCTACTGTCTTGTATTCTCACAAGGTACAAAATAATTTATTTAATTATACTTTTCTTTTTAATTTTTATTGAGGTTTAGTGGTTTACAATGCTATTAATAATGGCTTCTCAGGCATATAATTTCAATGCCTCACACATCACTAGTGTGCCGTTTCCCTCTTCCAAGGACCCCAGGGTCTCCTTCCCACCCCCACCCCCAACTCAATTAAGAGGATTTAATTATTTTTTTAATTTTTTATTTTTAGTGAATCACCATGAGATACAGTTATAGACTTACAAACTTTTGTGCTGACGTTTCAGCCATACAATGATCGAGTACTATTCCTTCACCAGTGCCCATTCTCCAC